GTTTCTTTCTTTCATTTTAAATGTAAATGCAGCAGAACACCTATCATTTACAGCAATTTGGAAGAAGTAGGGAGATGGCTGCAGAATAAAAGGAAAAGAATAAGAGAGAGGGTCTTGTGGGAGAAGTGTTACTCCTTTTTCCTCTTCAAGAGCTCCTTGTATCACAGTCACTTGCAGGTTCCTGTGTCTTTTTGTGGCTTCGGATGCCAACTTGGACCGCAGTTAATCCTCCCAGTCTCGTCAGCAGCTGCACTAGTGCTGGGAAGGAACCTGGAGTGGTCTTCATGCCGTTAACATAGAATCAGCTTGGTTCCCAGAAATGTCGACTCATCAACTTTGTTCCCCCATCTAGGCCCATGGGATTACAGAGGGGAATCCCAAGGAAATAGACTGTGACTGGCAGGTAGTCTACAAAGAAAGCCTCAATCACACATCTGAGTTTGGTACACAGGAGCTCAGACTCATATCGGTGACACTGGTCAAAACCCCACTCTTTGCTGCTAAGAAGTGTCAGCCCGTTTTGAGGGCCAAGGCAGGAAAATGGGGGGCTGGGGAAACCCCTCGTCTCCATCTCAGCTACCTCCAAGGCTGACAGGCATAGGGTTGGTAGTTCCCAGACCTCAGTCTAACTCACTGCTGCCAATCTGCCCCTGGCTTTCCTTTTCTGGCAAGTGCATTGGAATGCGATGAATAACTGATGATGTTATTTGGGGGAAATCTAATCTTTTGAATTAGAGTAATTTATGAAAATAATAAGTCATTCATAGACATCTGTGCCATATAATTAGTAACAAATTACTTGCTACCCTAAACTCATAGAAATACTTGGAGCATGGGGGGTATGGCTAAGAAGTGCTACCTCAACCACATTTGTTCAATTTAAGAAAGTACTTTGCTTTTTCTTCTGGTCCTCAGTTTCCTCATCCGTAATAGAAAAGGTTAGGGGAGACTTTCCATTTTAGGGCACATCACTGGAGATCAACTTATTTGTAAATAGCCTATTGCTCATTTAGAAAAATAAACCAGTGGACAATAAAAAATAAAATAAAATAAAAGGTTTGGACTAACAGATTACTGAAAGCACTGCAGATACAACATGGAAAACAGACAAGGACCCAGCCTCCAGTGAAGGAAATGGTCATCCACCACAAGGCCAAGAAGGGAGATGTGGGGGGCAGGGGGGCTCCAGACTTTACACTGAGGCAGAGCTGGTGCTGAGAGGTTTTCCATGGGGGAGGTGCAGGAGTAGACTTTTATTTCTAAGTCACTGATCTGCCTGCAGCCCAGAGAACAGAGGGAAGGGAGCCAGAGTGGAAGGGAGAAGCAGCAGCTCTACCTGTCCAGGTGAGAGCCTGGTAGAGGCAACAAGCTCAGAAAAGGACTCTGGAGCCAGGCAGCACACAGGTCTTGGTCTTGCTTTGCATCAACAGCTCTTTCCTCTTCAGTCTGACCTTGAATCTCTCCTAGAATATTTCTTCATGTGTGCCTGGGGCATCCTCCCTGCCAGGCTGCTGTGCCCATTAAAGGCACTAACGACTGGAAGTCATTAGCATGGACATGGCTTTAGTAGGTGCTCAGAACACGATAACTCTTCACCTTTACAATTTTGTCTCACAATGTTGCTGATCTCTTTAAATCCCAGAGTTAAAGAGCCTTGTTTGTGTTCTACACACCCAGCGTCCTTCTTCCCTTTAATTCTGCCCTCTGTGTTTTCAGAACTAGCATTTGGGAGTCCATCTGGCTGTCCTTACCTTCCCCGGGCAGTGGAGAGGGCCTTTTCTGTTTCTCTAGGGCCTGCTCAGCAAATTGCCCCTCCTCCTGGGCCGACACCCCCAGGCTGTTAGTTCCTGAGGGTCTGCAGCAAGAAACTACAGTCCCTGTGCCCTCCCTGACCTGGTAATAAGGCAGCACCCCCAGGGCTGAAAGGCATCCACTGAGCCCAGTTGGAACCAACAAGCCCATGCCCCCACTGGAGCAACCCCTTGTGGATTCTGTTTGTGGCCTTATCCCACACATTTTGACTCAGTCTTGAAGCATAAAAGGACATTATGTAAGCTTGATTAATGCACAGCTCCCAGCAGACCAGTTCTTAGAATTTTCCCTGCCCTTAGGCAAATCTTCTCCTGGTGAGCAGCTTTAATCTGGCTTTAGAAATTGCTTCTGATGGCTAATCAAAGAGATGGCTGGTGCTCAGCTTATGCTAAATAAAACGACCAATGTCTAGGCTCCTATTTAGGGGGTATTGCTACATATTTCATATTCAGGGGAAAATTCATCTTATTGCTCTGTGCTAAGAATGCACAGAGTTTCAAAGTGCTGAAATAGAGCCAGTTTATCATCCTGTCCCAGATGGTTATGACTTCAGTCAGCTTGAAGGGAAGCCCTGTACTCTCCCTGCATTTGGCAGTTCCTGTCAGAGGCATGGACAGGAAATGGCTTTGCTTGTTTTATCTCCTGTGTGATATAAGCATCCTCCTTAAAATTCGCCACATGACCTCATATTTGGAGGTGATGAACTTGGAATAGAGGCTGGAATGGGGCCACGTAGAGAGCCGCGAGCCTTGCGCATTCTTATTCTTGGAGGAAACGTGGCAGAGTGACAAGCAAGCTGCCTGAGTCGATCTCCAAGCCGTGCCTCTCTGTATCCCATGTCCACATCTGCAGACGGCAGCAGGGATACGCGTCGAGCCCAGCTGTCAGCAGGGTTTAATGAGAGGCCTCTCGACAAATACCGACATCGGTTTCATGCGTTATTATTTCCTCAACTGTTTTTTTTTTTTAATTTTGAAACCTCAAAATTGTGGAAATGACAAGACAGTCAATGCCCGTGTGTCCATTTCATTAATCTCCTCAGGCTTTCATAACGTAATACCACAGTCCACGTGGCATAGATAACAGATGAGTATTTTGTCTCTGGAGGCTCACAGTCTGGCTCAAGGTGCCAGCCAGGTTGGCTTCTGCTGAGGTCTCTCTCCGTGGCTAGCGGTGGCACCTCCTCGCCGTGTCCTCACATGGCCTTCTTTTGCGGACACCCACTTCTGCTACCTCACAGTGGCACCAGTCCTGTTGGATTAGGCTCCCCACAAGGCCTCTACCTTTCCTGCTGTAGTTTCAAATATAGTCACACTGGGGACTAGAGTTTCAGCACAGGGATGGGACAAGGCAAACAGTTCAGTCCATGGCACACAGAGAGGTAGTTTTTCTATAAAATGGAATACTACTCAGCCATAAAGAATGAGAAATTCATAGGAAAATGGATACATATTGAGGATATACTCCTAAGTGAAATAAATAAGTCACACATGTATAAATACTGAATAGTTTCTCTGGTGTGAATAAACTGTAATAGTACATAAGATCCTAATGAGATAACTGACATTGTGAAATGGGAAGAAAAGGGCCAAAGGTGTAGGGAAGGTGGGATGAGTAGGGGAAGGGTAATAAGGGAAAAGAAGAAAATGTGAGAAAATGAAAAGATGGAAATAAAGTGTTTGTAAATGGGGAGGGGAGGAGGGGGTGAGGGAGGGCAGGGACAAGGGGAAAAAATGAGAACCAAGACCTGTCATGTAGAGGTACAAGATCCCAACAATGAATGTAACTGTATTGTATACCTAAAATGTACCAATAAACTCAATTAAAAATAAAAAAATAAAATAAAATGTTGACCAGAATGCAACTCGCCTTCCCACTGTCCACATCCCTCACCTAGGATGTATGTTTTTTCCTTTTGTGGAAAGCTGGAATCTGACGGTGGGCATGGAAAATGGAGCCTTTCCTCTGGCTATATCCGGAACACTGAGAGACTATGCACATGTGAATGAAAAGATACCATGAACTCCCTATTATGACTTTAAGGAAAATGATAAAAGCCTTAGAGAACTGCACTTCTGCTAACTTTGTCTAGAGCAGTTTCTCCTGATACTAGAAAATATTTAAGCATATAGATCACAGCTGTGTAAAAATAACAAAAGTTGTACCTTGAAAAATTGGATTTTTAAAAAAGAAAAATAGTGGCATGTATAGGAAATATCTTTTCTTCTTTTTTCCTAATTTCCAAATTTGATTTTTTTCCTTTTTTGGGGGAGGGGACTGGGAGTTGAATTCAGGACCTTGCACTTGCCAGGCAGGCGTAATGCCACTGAGCCACAATCCCAGCCTTCAAATTTAGTTTTAGCCATACATTATTTTTAAATACATTAAATTAAAACTATACAGAATTGGGCAACACAATCAAACATGGCATGTGATAAGCTATTTTGCAATAACCAGAGTTTATAGCAACTCTATAATTGTAAGACAAATTTCTCTGTTTATCCTAATTTTCAAGTTAAAACAAATACAAGGGATATATAAGCAGAAATGCTACACTAGGTGCAAATGGTGGTGAGATTGTGCCTCTCACTATAGCCCCTGCTAAATGAAGAACGGAGTCAACTATATGCAAGAAGAGCTCTCTAGGGCCAGGGATTTAGCTCAGTGGTTCTGTGCCTGCCTCACAAGCACAAGGTCTGGAGTTCAATCCCCAGTACCAAAAAAATAAAGAATAGCTCTCTTTTCAAAGCACAGGTTTGCCAACTTGTGCTTTCCCCTAAAAATTCCCAGTAGTGCTCAGAACCTCTTTGTAATCTTAAAAAACTAGTTTAACATCCCTCTTTTATGGTTTCCTCTTATTAAAAACTTCCTGAGTTTCCTGCATTTTAGACTATTATGAATGAATTTCCATATCCCCTATTCCCAGCTCACCAGCACAGAAAGCCCCAGACTGAATATTTGTGGCTCCTTGTATTGATTTTTGGAGAAAATAAGGGCATGTATTTTGGTTCGGGGAGGAAGGAGCTGGGGGACCCCTCACAGAGAACTGCATGGGTGCTGGGTGTTTGTGATGGAGGCTCTGGGAGGCCTTTTGTAGGGGGAGGACTGGGATGCTTCTGCCTGCGATATGGCTCTGTCCTTGGCATCTGTGAGAACCAATGAACCATTCAATGTTTTCCTGTTGGCAGTGCTGGGCTTGGAGGCTCCCGCTCCACTTCTGAGAGTGCTGCCGGCCCAGACCCGTGCATCGTGTCCCCAGAGGTGACTGAGCCAAGGAAACACCCACAGGAAGCCAGGCGTCCAGAAGGATCTCCACTGTCCAGCCCAACACTGGCCTGGGAGCAGAAGCGCCCCTTGACCCCCATGCCCTTCACTGAGTGCCCTCCAGAAGGTTGCTTGGCAGGCCCAGCAGCAGAACCTGAAGATGCTCTCACCAAGCATCCAAGGAGGGACCCTACTCCGAGTGCCCCAGGGAACACCGTGGCATTTACCCCTGAAGGGGACAGTGTGGCTGCCGAAGTCTCTGGCTCTGGGGGAGACAAAGAGATGAAGGCAGAGGGACAAATTTCTTCTTCCTATGGTTGCATTGACCAGTTGCCAGGAATGTCACCTGCACCTCCAGGAGAGCCAAGGAAGGAGCTGCTATGTTCAGAGGGTCACTTAGAGTCCCAAGGGAAAGAGAGTATAGGTGGCTGTTCCCCTTCAGAATCCAGGCTGGATGTGGCTTCTGGACAAATAGTCCCCAAGGCCTCTGCTTCTGCCCACCCAGACAAGGACAGCTCAGCTGGCCTAGTGGAATGTCCCCTAAAACCCAAGACCGTGGTCCCACAAGATTCAGCTCCAGGAAGCTTAGACAGAGAAAAGGGCCGAGTGGAGGTGCCACCTCAGCATTTAGCCAATGACTTGGAATTCCGTAGCTCCTGCCATTCCCCTGGGAGCAATTCAGGGGCTGCCTATGAAGCTGAAGCTGCTGCTTCCCAGGAAAGCTGCCCGCAGCGGATGGGAACCCATCTTCTCCACAGAGAGCTGCCCTGGGACCCACTGAGTCCTGCCCCAGTACTGGGGAAGGAAACTCTGGGTGCCAGTGGTGCTCACAGTCCCTTGCACACAAGGATGAAAGGGGTAGAGACCCATCACGTTGCTCCCATGGCAACAGGTGTCCAGGTAGATGGGAGTTCACTTGGGATCCCTGAGCCTGTCCCACATAACCTGACTGAAGAAACACACCCAGCATCAAGCTCCGCAGCTCATCCAGCCCCTGAGATCCCTGCTACCACAAAAGGGCCCAGTTCATTGGCCAGGGAGATGGCTTCCAAAGCTGAAGGGCCAGTTTCTGTAGATTTGGTCAAAGAGCTGATGGATGCAAGGACTGCGGGACTGGAAAATTGGCCATCAGATCTTGGAAGAGAGCAAGAGCATTCAGAAGCAAGCCCCGGAGAGGTTTCTGCCTCTTCACCCCAGGAGAGGGCAGAGCTCTGGAACTGGGAGCAAAGCCATGCAGTCCCACAAGGGGTGATGCTGTCCTCTTCTTCTCCTGGGGCTTCAAGTAAAGGTACCGGGAGCTCAGTGGGGCCAAAGGAGGGAATCAAGGCCCCCGAGGATACTGGAAGCCCAAATGTGGCTAAAGAGAAAAGCAGATGCCATGGAGACAACCCTTCAGGACCAATCAAAGCCCAGGAGAAACAAGCCACAGAGAAACCTGGTGCTGTGGGTCCTGGAAACCTGGGGGGAGAAGAGTCTCAAGACTTTCACTGCAAGCCCTATCCAAAGGTGGTAAAAGATGAGGTCTCAAAGCCAGATGAAGATTTAGAGAACACGATGTTTTCCAACTCAGATTCCAGAAAGGGAGACACTGGACACGTGGACAGGTCTGACTCTGGGTCAGCAGGGGCAGCATGGCAGGTGGCAGCTGAAACCCATGTGTCAGACACAACCATCTCAACCCACAAACCCCACGAGAAGGACCCCATCCAGAAGCCAGCACCAGATGGTAGTGGTGAGCATGCTGTTCCCAGAGAAGCTGTCAGGGAGCAGCCAGGATTACTGACCAAATGCCTGGACATGCTTCAAGATAGGGAAGGACTGGGAAAAACAGAGTCTCCTTCTGGTTTAAAATCTGAAAAATCAGATTTCCTGTTGAGTTTTGCTGCAGAGGGCGTGACCAAAGCCCAGGAGGTGGAGCACACTTTGGAAATAAGGATGACAGGCTGCCCATCCCCAGAGAAGCCCAGCAGCTGTGACACTGAGGGCTTCTTAACATCCCCAGGCCAGCCTGGTGGGCCAGGGCAAGATGCAGCTGGACAGGAAGCTCATGTCAGGGTGCCACACACCCCTGACGGGGAGAACGAAGCAGAGGACTGTGGGCTCACCACTCCTAGCCTGAGGCAAGATTGTCAGGGAAACCTGTCCTGCCCAGGGGACAGCTGGATAAGAGGAGCTACATCACAGTGTCCCCCACTACCTTCTGAAAACCGACTCCCACCATCCCAACTGGACTCAGAAGCATTCATTTTTGATATTCTCAGGGAGAGGACCCCACTACCTGCAAATGGGAAAGAGGCTCACTCAAGTGCTCTAGGGTTTAAGAACCAGGGTGCAGAGTCTTCCCAAATCCATGTACCCGCGGAGCCTCAGGTGGATGTGAGCTTACCCACTCATGGAGGATGGGAGCAGGCTTCTGGGTCACAGCTTCAAAGTCAGCTACCCAAAGGCAGTCCTCCAAGTTCAACTCCCAAGGACATGACTCTGGAGAGTTCTCCACTGGGGCAGTCAGAATTGTCAACCTCACTAGGACAGAAGTTGCCTATATCAGGGGAAAATGAGCAAAAGGGAGTAGTAGGCTGTGATGGTCAGCCTCCTGCAGCAGACACCTTAAAAGATTCTTCTCCTGCAGAGGACTTTGGTAGAAAGGAAAGTGGCTATGCTGGGCAGGGACCAAACAAGTCCCAACAAGAGCTGGTTGGTGCTTTGAAAGCGGGCAGCCAGCAGGAAGAAGCATGTCGCAAGGATGCAGGAGTTTCTGAAGCAGCTGACGCCTGGACCCCGCCCCAGGGTTTGGGTAAGACAGAGATGGCAAGTAGAGACACAGTGGAGGCCCCGCCTTGTCCACCTGACTCAGTAGCTCTCCTGGATGCAGCTCACTGTCTGCCAGCCCCAGCACCCGCCAGTGCCAGAATCACACCTACCCAGGATGCCTCAGAGAAACAGGCACATGATAAACACCAGGAAGACAGTCAGGAGCCAGTGCCGGCCCTGCAGCAGGGAATGCAGTGCCCAGCCGCCATGGATGCAGAGGCCCCAAAGCTTCTTGAAAGTTTCCCATCAGCTAGGGAGCAAGGTAGTGAAGGTGGAGCTGCTGACAGTGATGGAAATGCCAGTGAAGGAGGCCCCCGGATGCTGCAGGCTCTCAGAGAACCGGAAGCTGCTCAGAGCAGGGCCTTCTTTCCTACCGAGCACTGCTTTATGTCCAGGAAAGAAGCTTCTACCCTGGGTGAGCCCTGCCAAGCTGAGCAGCCAAGGTGCCAGGGTGCCTCGCTATCAGTCAGAGAACTGGGTGGGACCCCCAGAAGCACTGCAGGTATTTCTGCCTGCCAGGCTGTCCCTGACCCAGAGAGGCCACTGCTGTCCAGGTCACATGAAGAGGCTGATCCTGACACCCCTTACCTGCAGAGTGATGGTGCTGCTGCTGGGAAAGGAGCAAAAGACAGTATAGTGAAAGCCGTTTCCTCTGAAAGCTCCTGCCCCAAAGAGGAGCCCTTGCTTGCCCTTGGAAATGCAGCCCCTGAGAAGCTGCCTGCGGGCTCCCTTCCCTCGCCCTTGCATTCAGGAGCTGCAGGTGGAGAAATCCCTGCGGTGCAGCCCACCAGTGAAAGCCCCAAAGCTGGAATCACTGAACGACCTGTGGCCTCCGTGCCCTACCTGGACAGGATGCCTCTCTTGGCCATAGGTAAGCAGACGGCAGGGGAGGATACAGTGGCCACAGCTCCAGACCCAGGTGCCAGAGCGTGTGAGATTCCAGTGTGCCCTGCTAGTGAGGATGGCATGGTGGCCGATACAGAAGGAGAGAGAGCAGGTGGTGGGGAGAGGATAGGAGATCCTTCCCCAGATCCAAAGGGGGACGTATCCTGTAGTGTGGATGCAAGCTCCAAGCAGACCGGCATGATAGCTGGGCTCCCTGACTTCAGAGAGCACATCACCAAGATCTTTGACCAGTCTGTGTTTGGAGCACTGGCCACTACTGATGGGCCCCAGAGTACACCTGGTGAGAAGGCAGGGTCTGGGGAAAATGTGGTAGGCAAGGACCTTGCCATACCTCTAAATCCAGAAAATCGTCCAGATGGGACTCAAGGAGTGGCCCCTACCCTTCTCCTTGTACCTCCTGCTGGACTCTTGGAGAAGAAACAAGAGTGGGCTGTTGAGGCTGAGATTTCCCCTCTGGTTTCCCAGCATCCAGTTCCAGGCAAACTGCTGGCTTGGGCAGGACCAGCCTTGGAGCAGAACCTGCCAGGTGCCCATGTTGAGGAGGCGATGGCCTGTATCCCATCAACAGTGAGAAGCGAGAGGCCAAAGGGGTGTGAGGAGGCCTGGCCAGGCCTGGGAGCCCAGGCTCACTCACAGCCTGAGGAGAGTGGGCAGAAACTAGCTGCAGGTCTTCCCTCACCCGTGATGGCTGATCAGGGGATGCCTGTGGAAGGAATCATGGACTCCAAGGTGGCTCCTCTGAGAAGTGGAGGAGAGGCCTTGGTTCACCTTGACCGAATTCCTTCTGGAGAACAGCACCTCGAAATGTCAGCCTGTGACGACCAACACAGAAAAGATGGTCCCCAGGACTTTGCTCACCCAGGGGGTCCAGATGATGCGCTGGGATCCACTCGTGCCCTTGAAGCTTCTTCTCCTGGTAGGGATGTGTTGATTATGCCTAAGGCTAACAGTGAGCCTGCGACCCCTCTCACACTTGGGGGTGGGAAGAGGCCTGAGGCTGCTGCCACCATCTTGGAAATGCAAAATGCTCCAGGCCACAAAAGCACCCCTAAGCCACAGGCTGGAGAAGTGTCGCCTGCTCCCCTAGAGCCCAGCAAAGTGTCAGGAGCTGCTGGGGAAGCTGAGAGTGACATCACATCCCCCACAGCTGAGACGTGGGCACATGGATCTGGTGACCTGCCTGAAACAGGTACTACAAGGGTGTTCTCCGGGGTGGCTCATGGCTCAGAGCTGCCAGGAAGCTATCAGGACCCAGAATGCTCTGACAGGGCTCAGATGATGGAGGACGCAGTCACCCTGCGAGGGGACAGCCTGGCTGGGCACCAGGAGACCGAGGAGCTGCCGAGGCCTGAGCTCCCCACTCCTGCTGGGCCCAAGAAGATGTGTGTCTCCTCAGAACCAGACAAAACTGGAGTCCCGAAGCTGCAACACTTGGCTCCAGAAGAGCTCCACGCTGACAGGTACTTAAAATAAATCCCCACGGGCTCGGCTCGATTTTTGTAAAAGTCAAAGAGATGGGTGGTTTTCCATATCTAGTGGGTTAAATATATCCACTTACCCTCTCTGGATGGGCTGAGATTCTGAAAAGTGTGAGCGAATGGAGACTGTTCTGACATACATTGTTCTTTTTCTTTTATTCTTTAATCCATCTAAACTTAAGCAACTAGAAAAACAATTGAATTGTTTACTGGCTGGCTGAGCATGATGGGGTGATAGGTGGAAGTCAGTGGTATGTTTCTCTGGAGTGCAGATACGTTTGCTTTTAAGTCTGGATTTGTTTTAGACGGAGGGACCTAAATGATTCAAAAGCACCTCCAAGCCATTAGCTGTCTGAAGCTCACCCCTCCACTCTAGGAATTTCGAGTAGTAGCTACTTAAAGCTGCCACAGTGAAATGCACCTTTTCAATAGGAGGTGGACCTTTAGCCATTCACATTACACTGTCAGTTGCTTTCTTTCACTGTTCCAGGAGGAGCCCTGGACCTGGCCAAGCAACCTTACCTATGGTTCCTGAGGATGTTCTGAGAGACGCTTCTTTAGATGAGGCTAGAAGTGCAGGAGAAGTCAAAAGGTCAGTGAACTTCTCCAGGCTCTGGGAGACTGGGGCACCTTCCTGAGACACAGATATTGAATGCTTTACAAAGAAGGGTAGTCTTTAAATGTGATCTCTTAAATAAGAAAGAGGCGGATAGCCATTTCCCATCCTATACACACACACAGGCTGTATCTGACAGGATACAAAGTGCCACTGGAAAAAGGACTGAGATGCTTGCTTTTTTTTTTCTCATTGAGTTTATTGGTACATTTTAGGGATACAGTATAGTTACATTCATTGTTGGGATCCTGTACCTTTACATGACAGGTCTTGGTTCTCATTTTTTCCCCTTTTCCCTGTCCTCCCTTCACCCCCTCCTCCATCCCCTATTTACAAATGCTTTATCTCCATTTTTCATTTTCTCATATTTTTTTCTTTTCCCTTATTACCTTTCTCCTACCCTTCCCACAGGACTGAGTTGTTTTCATACCTAACTTTATTATCTTAAAAAAACAAAACAAAACAGCTTTATTGAGATACAATTCACTTACTGTGGTATGATTGACTCATAGTATATAATTTGGGCTGGGGATGTGGCTCAGTGGTAGAGCTCTTGCTTTACCTGCACAAGGCCCCAGCACTACAGAAACAAAAACAAAAACAAGGGCTGGGGATTTAGCTCAGCGGTTTGGTGGCCTGCCTTGCAAGCGCAAGGACCCAAGTTCAATCCCCGGTACCCCCCCAAAAAAACAACAAAAAACCCACAAAAACAAAAGTGTCTAATTCAGTGACTTTAGTGTACTTAGAGTTGTGCAACTGTGGCCACAATCAATTTCAGAACACCCCACATGCACACACACAAGACAACTTGCCCTAGACAGCGCGCCTTGTCCCACCCATGCCATCTAACCGATTTCCTTTAGAGGAAAATGTGGTTTAGTCTCTGAAGCAGGAGTGGCTCGTCACCACCAGCAGCTGCAGCCACAGAGATCTCAAGATTAGGAGCTCGGATGACAGATATAACTGTAACCCAGACCTTCACACCTGCAGGGGAAAAGGGGAAACCTGGTCTTTCCTAAGTGCACTCTAAAGTTGCTGTTTACATTTCATCCTTTTGTTTTCTCATTGAGTTTACTGGTACATTTTAGGTATAGTACAGTTACATTCATCATTGGGATCTCGTACCTTTACATGACAGGTCTTTGTTCTCATTTTTCCCCCTTGTCCCTGCCCTCCCTTCACCCCCTCCTCCCTTCCCTATTTATACTTTATTTCCATTTTTTCATTTTCTCATGGTTTTTTTCTTTTCCCTTATTACCTTTCCCCTACCCTTCCCACTTCCCCTACACCTTTAGCCCTCTTCTTCCTATTTCACATTGTCAATTATATCATTAGGATCTTATGTACCATTATAATTTTTCACACCAGAGAAACTATTCGGTATTTACACATGTGTGACTTATTTATTTCACTTAGGAGTATATCCTCAATAGGTACCCATTTTCCTATAAATGACTCTAATTTCTCATTCTTTATGGCTGAGTAATATCATATCACAGTGATATATGCACACCTATGTTTATGGCAGTATAGTTTGTAGTAGCTAAAACTTAGAAACAGCCCATTTGCCCATCAGTTGGAAACTGGATAAAGAAGATGTGGTTTTTCTAAAAAACTTCCATCCTTTTGTGAATAAGGAGGAGATATTGCAGATATAGACACTGTGACTAAGCCTTGCATTATTCCTAGACTTTGTTCCCTGTCTCTCTGTCTCCCTCTCCCTCTCTCCCTCTGTCAGACTCTAAATTAGTACCTGTGTCTCCTACCAACAGCTGTGGGCGTTTTATAAATGATTTGCTTCCCATTTTGCACATGCTGAAAGAATGCATTGGTCACCTGTTTTTCGAGTCTGAACACTTCCCTGGCCTCCCAGCTGCCTTTGCTGCCCCACAGTAGTGACTGGTGCAACTGGGCCAGCACAGATGCAGCCTGTGCCATCCAGACAGAGGCAAACTAATCTGCACAGCACACTCGTTTCTGCCACTGCCTTAGCGAACTATTTCCTGCAGTGCTCGCTGATGTGTATTTTTTACATTCCCAGTTATGGCACGGGAAAAATATCTGCCTGGCTAGGGGAATCTCCACTGCCCCACGAGTGACTACATCAGCTCTTTCTTTTCCAACCTCTGTAGGCGTTTTATCACCTTCTTGGGGAACTCAGGGCCAGGCATAGTGTGGCCCAGTAAACACACTGAAGCTCAATGTTTCAGTCACTTGAACTTTTAAAATAGTTTCCAAAGTTGCATTAGAAATGATCATTTTCTGGCAATTTGTAAAGTATAGAAGAGCATGAAAAAGGAGAAAAGACACACAATCACACTACCTAACAATACTGTTATTTAGTATCTTAGTGTCATTTTACCCACTGTTTTTTGTTTTGTTTTGTTTGTACTGGGAATTGAATGTGAGACCTTGAGCTTGTGAGGCAGGCAGTGGTGGCACCACTGAGGTAAATCCCTGGCCCTACCCACTTTTTTTGGGGGGATGGGTCCCGGGGATGGAAATTGGGCCCTTGTGCTTGTGAGGCAGGCACCAGAACCACTGAGCTAAATGCCCGGCCCCCAACTTGTTTTTTTCCATCAGAGTAAGGATAGTGGTTAACATTGTGTAATTAGCTGTGGACTTACAGGTTTGGACAGTGTTCGTGTTTGCTTTACTCCTATAGAGACTTATAAAAATTAGTTTTTATTAATTTTTACCTTTATTAGTGCATGTTTGCAGTACCTAATGATAACAGTCATGGAGGGGGGTTGCTACACGTACACAGCACATCTTAATTTGGGGTCTTTTACATGCTTGGAACTGCGTGGTCCAATACAGCTGTTTCTGGCACATGTGAATGGGGATTTGTGTGGGGTAAGAGTAAAACACAGACCAGAGGTTCAAGAGGTAGAATGAAATTCATCATTCATCATTTTATACTGATTGTATGTGAAATGATCACAGTTTGGACATGTTGGGTTAAAATGCATTATTGAAATTAATTTCACTTATTTCTTTTTTGCACTTTTACTGCAACCCCCTACATATTTAAAATTACGTATGTGACCTTAACATACACAGCTTGCGTTCCATATAGATTGTTTGGCTCCAGGAGCTGCTTTTCCCTGTCCTTGAAGGACACAGGCATGGAGGAGGGTAAGCCTGCCCTGTGTGTGGATCTTGGGCCTCTATCCCCTTTACCCACTGGTTGAGGCCCTCCAGGAGGAACTTTGACTGGGCTCTTCCTGAAAGCCTGCCCAGTGGGGTGACCTTGGGCTCCTCTCCCTTGAGGAGAATCACAGGAGAGGTAACACCCGGGCAAACAGGCCGATGATTCCGTCCATCAGGGGGCAATCAAAATTCTCTGGAAGGTCTCAGACCAGTTCTGCATAACAGGAATGTGACAGAAGCCACAAAGGTGTTTTGTTTTGTTTTGTTTTTCTCAGAAAGATAATCTTGAAATTTCTAAGCAGAATTAAAAACCTATACAGAAACAGGGAAGATTAATGATATACTTTATTGGACATGGTATATCAAAATATTACCATTTCAACATGAATGAGATATAAAATTATGAAGGTGATATGCTTTAGCCTTATTTTCTCATACTATCTTTACAATTTGCTATGTGTGTGATATTTGAAGCACATCTCAATTTGGACCAGCCACACTCCTGGCAGTTAACAGACAAATGTGGCAAGTAGCTACCATCTTGGACACCCAAGACTGGACAACTGACCCAGAAGCCACGCCTTTCCAATGGCCTCATCTCTCCCCCAAGCCTGTTCCTATTGGCTTAACATAAATGGTGGGAACACATCCTTTCCTTGGGGAGGAGATTCAGTACTGTACTTCTTTTTGGTGAACCCACTTACCACAAGGGAGCCATGCATGTGGACCTCAGCAGGTGTCAGAGAAAAATCCTACCGCAGTCAGAGGATGAATGCACTGAGAGCAAGTGTTGTACCTGAATATCAAATTCAGCAGCTGCTGAGGGAGATTGGGTGACCACATGTCAACGGACACCTCCAGGAGTTGGACTGACGGAGTTCAAGGCCAGGACTCTGAATTCTGCTCCTTAGGGGTATATACATAACTTCAGTTTTCTCATCTACAGAATGAGAAGGACAACAGTTTACTTGCCTAATCAACTCTCAGTGAGGGCTGAGGTCATTAACTCAAGCGCCAGACTCCCACATTCTGGGGGCTCAGTAGGGTTTAGTTCCTTGCTGTTTTGCAGTGAGGTTTCCTCATGGAGTGAGCCGCATGCTCATGTCTCTCTTCAGTGTGGCGTCTGTTTCTGGGATCTCAGTCTGTACTCCTAACTGAGGTTCCAACCTGCCTAGTCTCCTTTTCTAACATGGCATTCTTTGCCTACTGAAATATCTAAATGACTGAGGAGAGAGAATACTTTCCTCCCTCCTGCTGCTTGGCAACCCACACTGGGCTGTTACAAGTTAAATGTTTTTTTTTGAGATAGTATTTTACTGTGATACATTGTGTATCTTTCTTTGTGTACCCTACTGTATTGTATTTCACCATGAATAATGTTGTAAATTGCCACAAGAGAAACAAAGTACATCAACCAAAGTTTCCATTTTCTTGTGGATTAGGAGGTGATTGCTTCTATGGAATCTACTGAACTTTGAAGATCCTTTTGACTTGAGCGGAAGTGGTAGCACAGATCAGGCTCAGTATCTGAGAAGCGTCTCTTGTGTTGTCTTGGTGGCAGGATAGTTTGATAACCCAGTATCATACACAGGCAGTGTAAAGATGTGTAGTGCTTTGTTCCCAAATTAAGTTTATTTGGTGCTGCTGGTAACATGTCACGGGTAGCCTACGGTCATGCCCTTCCAGCCACTTCCTCATACCCTGAGAAGTAGGAGCAGACAGACAGCCTATGGTGCATTTGGTTACCATGAAGTATCCCATGAAGGATCCTTTGGGAGGGACAGCCTCACTGTATACTGAAGGGATTTGAATTGACTCCAATT